TCCATAAGAAATATTTTTTGAATTTTGCTTGCATTTTTTCAACAACATCCCTATATTTTTCTTTCTTCTTAAATTCAAAGAGTAGAAAAGAAATTTCAGCCATATGTACTAAAGTCATAGCAACAGTAGGGTAATATGCTCCAGAAAACTCAACAGTAGCTGTNGATTCAAACCGGTGACTTGGGACACCATAAATCTCCCAAGTGGCGACTCTGAACTTCTTAATAAACGAATCCCGTTTCGATTGTCCTTTAATTGGAAAAACTCCTTTATTATATCCTTCACAGGGTGTAGTAAGAAAAAGGAGGTGTGACAGTTTGGATCAGTACAATGCGCATTAGCAACTTCAGTTATTAGGAATATATATTTGTAGCAACATTTTAAAAATATATATATATATAATTCCATCTAGTAACAATTTCGTCTTGCATGAATCTGGGTTTAAGGTTATACTGGATACACTTATTCTTAAATTCCTTTATTCTAGATTGTCTATTATTTTCTTGAATAACACCAACAGCTCTTCTAACATGAGTAATCTCAGTTGAAAATAAATCAAGGCCACTTTTAACAATTAAATTATAAACATGACATGCACACCTAACATGAAAAATTTCATCAAGTGGTGGTTGCAAATGCAGTTGTAATATTGAAATTGCGGTATTATTGTTAGAAGCATTATCAAAAGACATACACAATACTTTTTGCTTGAGATTATAAAATTTAACAACTTCACAAATAGTAGTACTTATAAACGCAGCAGTATGACTCTGATCTTCATCATATTTAAAAGCGATAATACGTTTTTGCATACAATAATTATCATTTATGCAATGACATGTAATTATCAATAATCATTTCCATTAACAGCATGGCCAATATCAGAAGTTAGAGAAACTCTACAAGGAAGGTGGCTAAACAAATAACGTATATATATTTGATATTGTCCATGAAGTCTAAGGATACCTTTAAATAAAGGATTGTAAATCCTTTGAATATACATAATAAGATATGATGAAGAAGCAAAAGAAAAAGGTAGACAACCCAAAGCAATCATTTTTGCTAACTCCTCACGATCCTTCATTTTATCATATTTCATAAGACCTCCAGTAGTAGGGTTTAGAGTTGCTTGATTTCCATCTCCATCAGAGCCTCATTCTATAGGATGCTCAATTCTCATATGTCTACTAAGTGTCCTAGTCCCCCCCTAATTGTCCTCCAGTCTTATGTTTAAAAGTATCATTACAAAGTTGCATTTAACTCTATCAGTACCTTCTATTTCGTCAAAAAAATTTTAATCCTTACTTCTTTTTCTCCAATTACTAGTCGGGGCCACAGGTGGTCTACTACTAGCACCACGACCACCACCCCTGCTACCAGCTCCAACACTACTATGTGTAAGTGGTATCTCATCTTCCATTTCTAACTCATTATCTTCTATACCGAAATCTTCCTGAATTTGTTCATAATCTATATTATTATCAGGTAATATTTCAGGAATATTTGCAGAGGCATTTAAATTACTACTAGATGTTGAAGTACTACTTCTTTTTTTATTTTCCCGATTAGTAACCTTATTACAAACTCTTTTTGCAGCATTAAACATATTGTAAAAATTTAATTACTAGCAACAGTTAAATATGCAAATAAAATAGTAAATAAGAGAAAGAGTTGGAGGGAGTGCACCGAATTCGGCAATAAATTGAGCACTTGATGATTTCGCAACTCCAATGTTACCACGAAGAAACGTCAATTGTTCCAATTTTGAAGTTCAATTGTTCAAACTTCAACTAATAAATACTACGATAAATTAAATTCCAAAAAAAAGAAGAGCCAAATAGTTGATTGCACTTTAGGTGAAGATTGAAGAATGAGAGAATATGAGAATTGAGAATGAGAAATGAGAGATGAGTGAAGAAATGAAGAAGAGGGGGGGTGTATTTATAGTTTTTCAAAGAGGTGTTAATTTTTTTTTAAAAAAAACCCAAAAATGGGCTATTTGTGAAATTCTGCCGTTGGGCAACGGCCATAATGGGAAAAGGACCGTTGCCAACGGTCAGATGTTAGGCCCACCATTAAAAAAAAATTAGTTAGCCGTTATACCAGTCCGGTGCGGGCCAGTTAATCGGTTGAACAGTAAAAACCGTTGATCGGGTTTGACCGGTCCGGTTAACCGGTAGGATTTAAATAAACGGACCAACCCCTACCCCTTTAACCCAGCCCCACCCGGCCCCCTTGTACCGGTCCGGGCCGGTTTCGATTTTAACCGGTCTGGGCCGGTCTGGAAACGGGCTGACCCGACCCATTAGACACCCATATGTACTGCAGAATACTAGGGGAATTCCCAAAAGTGTCATGGAGGAAGATTAGATGCAATAATCAGGGAGCTCCCAAATGGCTGTTCATTTTGAGACTAGCTATTTATGGAAGGTTGGCTACAAAAGATAGAATTGCTCAATAGGGCATTAACATTGATCTCCTATGCTCCTTTTGTAATAAATAACAGGAAATCACTCAATATCTCTTCTTTGGATGTGAGATAACTGGTGGCATTTGAAAGAAGATATTGATATAGCAGAACATTAACAGAACCAGCATGGTATGGAATGATGAAATCTAGTGGGCTATCAATAAGTGCAAAGGAAGAAGTGCAGGTGCTAGCGTTTATTGTTTTACATTGGCAGCAACAATGTATTATATGTGACAAGAAAGGAACAATAGAATATTCCAAAAGCAAATGAGGCCAGCAAAGATTATAATTCGACTGATAGTACAGGAGGTTTACTTTAAAGCAAGTTTGTCAACTAAATTGGGAGCTTACACAAGGAAGTTGAATTACTATCCTATATAGACTATGTTTGCCATAATCCAATTGATGTAGGATGAAGGAATTAGATGACTTGAGGCAGGTAGTTCTAGAGCTTGCATGCTCAGACTATTGCTGTTTTCTTATGTAGTTATTTGGAGCTATATATATTCACAATTTTGATATATAAAATCCGATAATTTGATAAAAGAAACATACATATTTATGCACAATGATACAATATTTGACATTTTAGGGAAGTTACTTTAGTCCACTACTACACCTCCTTTTCAACACCACAATATAAGAGTTTCTTAGGGAAAGTTAGATTTGAAAATTAAAGAGGAGAAAAGATGGAGATGGAAGTTTTCTTTAAGTAAGATAAATAACTTGGAAATTGTCAGAGCAAATTCTTTGATTGACTTCGTTGTTGATCCATTGAAATTTACAGAAAGAGAAGAAAATAAGTAAAGAAGGTTGTCCAATTCTCTTCTTCACGTTAGATCAAAGGATAAAATCTTTTTACAAATTATATACAAAATGGGCCATTGCAGATAAGATTTAAAAATATGGGTTCATTTTGATTGTGAGATTGCGAAAACTAACATAAGATGCAATTTTTTTTTTCAAGTCACCATCAATTATTTTATAAAAGGAATAGTTACCTCCTATAGCAAAGGTTGATACCTTATTTATTTTAAATAAATACCCTTTTAAAAAATTATATTTCATAGCTACCTTTTGG